TCTGAACCCTGTTAGGAAGAGCATTTATCTGTGTGCCTGTTGGCCACCTTCCCTGCCTATCATTCTCTTCCTTTGTATAATCAGAGCCCCTTCTTGCTCTTCATCTCCACACGGGCTTTGGCCTCCAAGGCTTCCCTGAATCTCAGCCTCTGTGTCTCTTGTGCAAGCCCCAAGGTCAATCCCATCCTCAGAGCGTGTTCCAGGCAGTGAGGCTGAGAGGGCTCAGGAGTGGGCAGGAGCTCATGAGAAAATGCTTTGGAGCCTTAGCACCTGTGTGAGCAACAACCCGCTCCTGACCTCAGCCTTCACGGATTCGCACTTGGGGTTTATCCAGAGCTCCTGTGTGCTGGTGTCCAAGAAAAGAAAATTATAAAAGCTTAGTTGTGTGCATCAGTCCATTCCATCTGTACAGAATGCACCAGAAGGGCCTTGACCTTTCAGCCTAGGAATGACACCTGTTCTTCCTTCAGCTCTCTCGGAGTGTGTGAATTCTCACAGCATCAATTCCTTTGATCATTTATTTGAAGTCAGAGTAGGAAAACAAAAAATGCAATTAGACTCCTCAAGGAACCAGCCTTTATTCCTCAAAGACCTGGCATTTGCTTACTATTTTTCCCTCAGCTTTCAATTTCTACAGCATCCCTACTTTGGTTTTTACTCTAAAAGGAGCTCTTTATCCTCTGGTTTCAGAGGCAGTAGTGAAAGGTTAAGTCTTTATTTAGCACAAAGGTCATAAACTCACGTTATTATTTTATCTTTTTATTCCACAAAAGCAAGTAAAAGGGTTCCACAAATATTTTAAAAATCACTTCAAAAGCATATTAAGGTTATATTCAATAATCTGAATTCTCTAGGAAGACAATTTGAAGATAGATATATAGATAAATATGCATAAATTGAATGTATATTATATATGTATATATAACTTAGATACACTCCCTTTCAGAAATGAAATTGCAATTTATTATTAAAAAACAAATAGAAATACGATGCTATATTGTAACAATTAGGACATTGTTTACGATGGTGAAACATTGGAAAGAACACAGAAAATGCTGAATGCTAGAGGTAGGGATATATAAGTGAGGCTGCGTTCCCTGAGAATAGTATGATTGCCATTTGTAAGCTTTAAGAAAACAATATAAGATTATTAAAAATGTTTATGATGAACTTAGATGCAAAACACAGTATCAACATTGTTCAACATCATGGCCACAACCTAGAAAGCCATGCTTTTGAGAATACAGAAGGGCTGGCATGTTGGCTCAGATGGTAACTCTTCCATCCCCAAATGCTGGGATTCCATATGGGTACCAGTTTGTGTCCCAGCTGCTCCATTTCCCATCCAGCTTCCTACTTGTGGCCTGGGAAAGCAGTGGAGGACAGCCCAAGGCCTTGGGACCCTGCATCCACGTGGGAGACCCAGAAGAGGCTCCTGGCTCTGGATGGGCTCAGCCCCGACCATGGCAGCCATATGGGGAATGAAGCAGCAGATGGCAGAACTTCCTCTCTGACCTCCTTCCCTCTGTGACTCTGCCTTTCCAATAAAATGAATACATCTTTCTTTAAAGAAAAACAAAACAAAACAAAACAAAAAAGATACCATTCAATCACCATTTAAAAAAAATATGGAAACTAAGGCCATTGGTATTAGGTAGTCCGGAATATGTGAATATTCTCTTTTCTCTAAAACTGTAGCAACTGTAACCACTCACCATTTTAAAATTAAAAAGCAAATTAGACATTTATAAGTTGTTCACGGAGCATGCTTCGTAGGTGTGTAGGTGTGCATACTTCTCGGACAGGTCCTCTGAGGCACCGAGAGTCTAGGTCTGTAATATTAACAACATTTTGGAAGGAAACTCAGTCTCTAACGTCAACCCAACATTTGAAAAGGTGCATCTCACTGTATATCCATTTACCTACAAACTCATCTCTTCCAATAGTTGTCGAGGACTCGAGTCAACTTTCCTTTCTCTCTGGGAACAGTCCCAGACTAATGCTTGCATAACTAAGGCTATGGGGTAGACACAAACCTGAAATCTTTTTTGCCACTCTTTTCCCCTAGAACAAATCTGTAGAGTCATGAAAACTAAAAATGATCCCAGTGTCATTGATAAATGATAAACAGGTGCTCAGGAAAACAAACAGGTGTACACACTCACCTGTAAGAAAGAGAGGAAGCCACAGAAACACAAGAAATAGCATACTTAAAGCTAAAGAAAACACTAAAATTTCATTTTGGTAAACCACAAACAAATGATGCTTTTTGGATTTTTTCCCCTCTTTTGAGAATACATTTCTCCTGGTTTGATGACGTGATAATCAAAGGTAAAATTCTATTACCAGTTATCAGGGAAATGCAAATAAAAACCACAAGGAGATTCCCCCTAAGTCCAGTGAGAATGGCCAACATACAGACATCAACAACCACCACCTGCTGGTGAGGATGTGGGGGAAATGTGCCTTATTGCACTGCTGTGGGAAAGGAAGCTAGTACAGCCACTATGCTAGTCAGTACGGACTGTCCTCAGACAACTTAAAATCGATCTGCCATACAACCCAGTGACCCCGATGCTGGGAACACAGCCAGATGAAATGAAATGTGCACTCAAGAGAAAGAGACCTGCAACTCCATGTTTATTGCAGTACAATTCACAATAGCCAGGGCATGAAACAGCCCAGATGGGTGTTAACATATGAACAGATAAAGAAACCATAAAGAATGGATATGAATGCATAAAGAATCCATGGAATACAACTCAGCCATAAAAAAGAATGAAGACCCAGCATGGTAATCTAGCTACTAAAGTCCTCACCTCCTACATCCCATACAGGTGCTAGTTCTGATTCCAGCAGCCCCACTTCCCATCCAGCTCCCTGCTTGTGGCCTGGGAAAGCAATTGAGGATGACCCAAAAACTTGGGACCTGTGGCACCCACATGGGAGACCTGGAAGAAGCTCCTGGCTCCTGGTTTCAAATTGGCTCAGCTCTGGCCATTGTGGCCACTTGGGGAGTCAATCAGCAGATGGAAGATCTTCCTCTCTTGTCTCTCCTCTTTGTATATCTGACTTTCCAATAAAAAGAAAATGAAATCAATCTTAAGAAAAATAGAATGAAATCTTCCTGTTTGAAGCAACATGGTCCCCACTGGAAACCATTATGCTTAGTGAAGTAAGCCAAATCCAAAAGGCAAAAGGCATATGTTCTTTCTGATATACGACAGCTAATACCACATATATAAGTAAGACAGCAAAGTACCACATATATAAACGCATATATACACGAACTTTATGAGGAAGATTAGTGTACCAGAACATAAAGAGACTATACACAATATGCATCTCTGCTCCCGAATAAAAGTCGGATTCCTAATGAAACGTACACGCACACCTTTACAATGCAATATTAGGGTTTGTGCCCTTTCCTAAACTTACTATGTCTTGATACATTTAAGTATCAGAAACCCAAGCTTGTAACTGGTACTAAGGGACTGTGCCATTAGGACAACATGGGGACCAATGAGGGGGAGGACAGTAATGAAGCCCTATGCTGTAGAACTGTATCATGATAAAACAAAAGCTCTAGGGTCACCACGTCTTTTCTCCTTGCACAGGGTTTCCAGCGTGGTCCTTAACAGCTACCTGCCATGTATTCAGAAAGTTGCCACATCCTCTATGGCACAACAGGAGCCAACGAGCCGTCTCAGCTTTCGGTCTTAGTCCAATATCTGATTTTCCCCCTTCAACTCCATCTGCTTTTGCAATGGCTGGGGACAAAGTCACTCTTGAAAAATGAAAAAGCCAGCCTACTGAGGGAATACTTCTGTGATGCTGTCGTGAAGGGTCGAGAAGCTCTGGTGTTCATTAGGAGCCACTGATACTCAACACTGGAAGGTGGAAAGCCACCCTGGCTGCACACCTGCCTGGCATTACCGACAATCCACATTCTCACAAAACATCCACTCGCAGTAGCGGCGATGAAAACAGGAATCATAACATTAAAAACAGCCACCTGTTCATTCTGAGTTCCCTCTGAGGGGGTCTTTCACAGCAGCCACAGACACAGAAGTCATCAGTCCTTTATGTACCCATTCACCACTGGGACACTCAGGCTCAGCTGAGGACCACACAAACAGAAGATGGAGAAGCTGCCCAGGCCTGAGCCCTAATAACGCAAGTCCCCGCCAGTCATCCCTGAAACCGGCAGGTGTGGCTGTGTCCATTCGCAGATCTATGGTCAGGGTTGGGGGCAGCACAGCACTTGAGGACCAATGACCAATGCCAGGGTCACCCTAAGAACCTTTGGGTTCCGCACCCGGACCGCCTAGGGATTCCAGTCATGCAGTCCACACTCAGCCCTCAGAGGTTCAATGACAAAATGGCTGTGCCTTGGCGGGACACTGCTCTGCTTGCTGTGTGGCTCCATTCTGGCAGCTGCTCAATCAGACCGAGAAAACGAGGGGTATTTAGCAATCTCTGGGAGCCTGGAGGTGCAAGGTGTGTGTGTGGGAAGGGGGTGGGGGGGGGGGTTGAAGCGAGACTCCCTTATGCTCCTCTTGACCTGGCTGGAACAGCACTGTTCCCCGCCCTGAACCTGCGCTTTGGCCGAGAGGTTACCCAGACATTGGTCCTGGCCAGTGCAGCTGCTTTGCATTGACCTCCATCCCGGCTACCTGCCCCGGCTTCCCCCACCTCAACACCTCAGGACGGGGAGGCCGCGGGTCTGGCGGGCCGAGGCTTCCCAGGCCGAGCGAGGCGCATCCCCGCAGCAGGAGCAGGGCGGGCGCAGCGCGGCACACAGCGCCCCTGCCCCGGGTCACCCCAGGAAGGGCTGTGTGGGGGCGCGCCCTCCCCTCCCTCCTCCTGGGCCCTCACCCCAGGCTCTGCGGCACCCTCAGCGCCCCCGGCCCGCCCGGGCCCAGCCGTGGCGCATCCCGGGCCTCCCGCCAGGGCACCGCCGCGCCGCAGCCTCCCAGGCACCGGCGGCCTTGACCAACCTGTAACCCCAGCGCTCGGAGCAGTCATGGTGCCCGCGGGCGGCGGCAGCGGCGGGCGGGATCCGGGCCAGGCGCGGCCCCCACGGCGGGCGGGGACGCGGGCCCCTCACCTACGGCGGCTCCGTCGGCGCGCTCGGCCCAGCCGGGCCGCGCTCGGCGTGTCGGTTCTGCCGCCGGAGCCGGGTGGGGGAGGGCGGCGAGGTGTTGAGGGGGTCGGGGATTTTTTTTTTTTTTTTTAAAGCTGTTGAGTTGGCTTGGCCGAGGAGGCTGCGTTGCTGCTGCCGGCGGCCACCGCCCGGGTCAGAACCCGCGCGTTCTTCCTCTGGCCGCCACCCGCAAATCGGTGTAGCAACAGCTGGGCGCTCCCGGGCCGGCGCTGTCCAGGTTCCCTGGGCGCCGGGTGCACCAGAGCCAGGCTTGCGCGGATGCGCCCGAGGCAGCCGCGTGGAGGCCCCGGCCCAGTATGCTTGTGAGCTAATTCCACACTTGCCTGCGCGTTGCTGCACAACGAATGCAAAGCCTTCTGAATGCATTGATATTATCGTTTAGAATTAAAATGCATTGTCCTATGGCTGAGGCTTGAAATCCACTGTCAGGTGCACAGGTGCCCTGTGCTCTGTAAGTGCACTAGGCAGGCTATGTCTGGGACTCCGAGGCCTGGGTACAGCAGGTTTAGGAAAATCCTGAACCCTGAGTCCCAAGCTCAAGTCCAAGGGACACCCTCCCTTCCCACCTTCAGTCCTGCTCTCTGAAAACTTTGCTGAAAAGGCCTGGCATCTTGTCGGGTGCTCAAACATTAACACCTGGGAGGAATTTCTGAGCAGGCATTTCATTATTCCTCAGAGGCCCACGAATTAAGGGAGAGAGAAAACCAGAACGAAGCCTACCTCAAAGAGAAATCCTAAATGAAGAGCAGTTTAGAATTTCTTTTTAAGGATTCCACCCCAAGACATGCAAGTAAAATATGATAGCAATTGCTGAAACGTGCTTTCCTTACAAATGTTTAAGTCACAATCTAAAAACATCTCTTCCCATTCTACCTACGCCCACTGCCCATATTAGCAGTTTTCTAGCTAAATGATGTTTTTTTTTTTTTTCCAATTTTTTTGGTTGTTTATTCTATAGAATAGGAAAGCACGAGGCCCACGTTAAAAGAAAAGCTATTGTCCTTTGCTTCATTCTCCAGTTGTGTAGGTGGCCTGGTGGGCCAGGGAGAAGGCATCCAGCCACTCCTCCCAGCTGAGTAGCAGAAACCCAATTACTCCAGTTGTCACTGCTTCCTATTGGCCCTCCCCTGGGTCTGCATTGTCAGTAGGAAACTGGAGTCCAGAGCCCAAGCTGGGATGTGAATCCAAACACTGCTATTCAGTAGGGATGCTAACCCCTAGGTAAATATTTCAGTGAGTGGGGCTGAGACAGTGTCCCCTGGGCCTGATTCTATGGTGAAGATGCAAGATGCACTGTATTTTAAATATATTTTATCAATTCCTGCTTGGGAGACCAACAACCTGTAGATAATGTAGCCAGGCCTGGGCAATGTACAGGTTTCAAGCAAGCAGCCACAAGGAAGCTCAGTGTACTCATTTAGGAATCTGGAAGAAACCACTCTATGAAGTCCTCTGCCTGCAAATAAAATCAGCTGAATTTGTCCAAAGTCAAATCCAGCATAACCAGGTATTTTGCAAATTGCCAAGAGGTGAGAGATTGAAGGAACACACAGTTCAACGGCTGACATTTCTTAGCAAGAAAGTGCATGTTCTGACCCAGCTGTGGCCAGTTTAGGAAGGGCTTGTGCAAGCAGCAATTATACCTTCAGCCTTCCCTCTTGATGCGGAAAGCCTAACCCCTGTCGTTACAGTGCTGAAATCTCTACCTCCAAAGGGACATGGGACGCGTATAACTAAGTGGACATGCAAAACTAAGTGGACATGAATACTCATGCTTTTCAAATATGCATGACTCATCCCAAATTGCCAGAAATTTTCTGAGTATATGTAACCTCCCTAGAAGCAAGCCTTATGAAATGCATACCCCATGGCTTTTGGGGGGGACCTAAAAGTTACCCACATATTTTGACAGTTTAATCGAAGCTACTACAAGAGAGTAAACCTTTGAGATCCAAAAATAACATTCAAGATTTCATCTACTGTGTAAACTATTTTAATAAAGACATGGTAATCAGCAGACTGAGAACCCTCAGGATTGGGGTGCAGGGTAACTCATCAGACATGTCACCCAAAGTGCTATAGGAGAGAACTAGAGTGGATAACATTGGAGGAGAGGAGAGAAGAGGAGAGAAGAAAGGAGGGGAGGGGAGGAGGTAGAAAGGAGGAGGTGAGGGGCAGATGTCTCTTACGGATTTGGAGCCATCAGTAGCAGTGCAGGTGCCTGATTAATTCTCTTACAAATTTCCCAGAAATTAGGAGGAATACTATTTCTAGGCAAACTGTCTAACGATGAAATACACGTCTAATGTGACAAATAGGCAGGTGGGAGTGGCCTGAGAAGCCAGGTGCAGGCTTGCTGAGTGCTGTGGCCACCTCACCCAGATCCTCCGAGACAAGCCAGCGTACTCCTCATCCTGCCACTGCTAGCATGACTGCCCCAACTGTCCCTTTCCTGAAAAAGTGAACCACCAAGAATGGGAGGTTGCACCTGGAAGAAGATCATTCCATGCCCAGTCCGGGAGAAATCGGAAGTCAATGACAGGCAGATCTCTTTGCCCGAGAAACATCTCAGGGTGGAGCACCTCCAAGGTGTAATTCCTCTGGATCTCCCCTGCAGGTCTGGGATGAAGCTACACTCCACACACCGGAAAGCAATGGGTCCTTCTGGTGCTTCATCACAGTGTTTTGCCTGGATCAAGTACATCATACAGTTCAGGATTGTATTGTTTTACTCAGGTTTTGCTTGCTTGCTTTGCCCATTTCTGAAAATTGAATTAAGACCCCCCCACACTCCCCCTCCAGAACTAGGTTCTTGGGTCCACCTTCAGGGTGAGTGCCAAGTCCAAGAACCCTAGGGGTGGTTGTCTGGCTTATCCTGGGTCACCTGGCCAGGTCCATGAGCCCACCTAGGAGAATTGGTCCTCCTCAGTGTAAAGGGTGGAGTGCTGGGAAGAAGAGCATGGTGTACATAGAGGACACGGTATTCCAGTGGGGCCTGCAGAGGACATCTGGCATTATAGTGGAGAATGGAAAACAGAACATATGGACAACTATCCCAGCCAAATGATGACAGCAAATATTTGGGCAAGTGGAGACTCTAAGGTTGACTATGTCGGCCAACGGACATTGGAAGTGATTCCTCATCCATAGATCGGTGAGATTGACAGCATTTTGAAACTATCGCATCTGCCTGGGCAGAACCTTTGGAATAAGTGCCACATTGTGACCCTGGATTAACATCAGGTGACCTTTCCCCATCTTCGGGTGCTGGGATGGTTGGGAGATTGGATATGGCTTCTCCCTTCATCTCCTTCCTCCCCCAAGAAATGGGAAGGTGAAATAGAAGGCTTGGATACAAGCTCTCCCTAACCCTAGATCCATCCATCCCTGACCAACTATGTAAACATCATCTAAAATTTAAAAAGAGCTAAAAAAAATCAAATCTATGACTACCTCCTCAAAAAACAAAAAGCATCTTCCGCCATGGTTTAGGGGCTGTTTATATTTCTGTTTATCCTGCAGCATATGATCTGAAGCTTTGTTACTGTGTGTATCCAATTTTAAATTGCTGTATTTTCACCCAAAATTGAAACTTTTGCCAATCCAAAGTGACTTTATAGCTGGTGTTTTTTTGGGTTTTTTTTTTTTTTTGCCTTAAAGTGGTGTTTCCACAGACTCTCTAGCGCCTCTCAAATTTTTTTTTTACTTTCTACTGGATCCATTATTTAAATTTTAACACTTTGTTTTTTCCTCATTACCTCAAACCCTTATAAATTTTATTTTTATAAGCATTTGATTGTGCATAATAATCTTTTTGGTATTTCAACAATTTATCCATCTGCCCAAATTTCCCTTTATAGAGATTTTCTACTGGGAAGCGGTTTCTTTCTTTGTTCATTTACATGCCTGCCTATGTAATTAATCATGAGTTTTTGAAAGATAATTCTGTCCTGATGCACCCAGTTCTAGTCTGGCTTAGCATTTATGTCACTTCATTACACTGAATATAATATTCCACTATCGTTGGGCAAAAGTCACTTAGGAATTTTTCCATTGATGCTTATCTACCTTATTTCTCTCTGTGTCTAAAATTTTTCTAAGTTTTCTACCTTGCTTTCCATGATGAGTCTGTAAGTGTGTGTGTTTTGCTGGTCCTGTTTGAGATTTATTAGACCTTCTGAAGTCATGGCTTACTGCTTATTTAATCTGCATGATGTTTCACCTCTCCTTCCGGGATGGTACTTTCCATGTCTGTTATGCCCTCACGCTCTCCTTTCATGTCTGCAGAGATGGGTTCTGTGTTCTTTTCCCTTTAGGCTTTATAAACTCTTCTGAACAGTTTCCTGGCCCCTTTTATAGTTTACCTACCTATCTAGTTATGTCTAAAGATCTATTATGCCAATCATATCAGGTCTTACTTTTTAAACATTTACTTAGTTTCTCAGGTGTTATTTTATTCCTTTTTTATATGGCTGTTTAAATTGTTATAGTTTTTAAAATTTTGACAGATTTTACTCTAAACATAATAATCATTTTATAATGTATGTCTGGTAATTCCAGCATTTGAAAGTTGTGTATCTCTCTTTCTCAGGATGTTTTGCTTCCTCTGCATAGCTTGGTTTTTTTATTATTAGGAGATCTCTGAAAAAGTTTTTTCATGAAATTCTTGAAGATTCAGAGGGATGATTTCTCTAAGGAGGATTTGCATTAGTTTTTTTTTTCAAATACATACATACAGTAATAACAAAGGCAAATTTCGTTAAGGTACTCTGTGCTTTTGAGAATAAGGAGCCCAGTGGAAAATCTGAGGGTTTTTCTTTGATTCTTCTCCCCTACAAGCTGGAAAACAAGAGTTTAAATTTCACCAATGGATAAGTTCTTTTCTGGTAGAAATTTCTCCAAGTTGTTTATAGTTCTCAGTTCTTTCTGGTTACTTTAGCCTGATGACTGCTTACTCTAGGCCAACACTTTGTTAGCTTCTGGAAATGTTTGTTTT